AGTCGACAGAGGAGCTAAAAATTGGGTCTGTCCGTCTTCCACTACAATGCCAGACAATAGTGCAAACGGTTCCAATTTTGTGCTTTTTTAAGGGCCCAATTCGTTTGCCCTGGCCAAGTGTTTATTTGAAGTGTGGCTATGCTAATGAGTGCCGTTAATCACTTGCATGTTTACAGAAACTCTGTTTATTTACAACTGATTGTACTAATACCCATAAGCATCGAAGTGTATAATATGCTGATCAAACTTTCATAGAGCACAGACCTGAGCTTGCTACGGTCAACAACAAAAAGATGTTCACTGCATGACGTTCACACTATCACTCTGATAAATGTTGCGTGGCAATAGTAACAAGCAGCCTGTCGGCTGAAATAGCTCTGCTGCACATTTCAAATAAAGATATCATTAGAAAATGAACAATATGTATAAGTATCAGAGCAATGGGACTTGCTGTTTTTAACAAGAATTCAAAAATATCACTTTTAATTGAACACATCACCACGAAATTAACAAATCTGAAAGAGGTCCACATGTAGTACCTATATATGTAATATCAAAGCAATTCGACTTGCGGTTTTCTACAAGAAGTCGAAAATATCACTTTTTATAAAAAATGACAAAAATATTCACCAAAATTAGAGAATTAAAGATATGATCATGAAATGAACAAATCTGAGTTAGAACCACATGTAGTACCTATATATGTAATATCAAAGTAATTGGACTTGTGGTTTTCAACAAGAAGTCGAAAATATCACTTTTTACCAAAAATGACAAAAATATTCACCAAAATTAGAGAATTGAAGATATGATCATGAAATGAACAAATCTGAGAGAGGTCTACCCAAGGTACATATATATCAAGTATCAAAGCATTCAGGCTTGTAGTTTTCAAGAAGAAGTCAAAAAAGTAAAACATTGACACGGACGACGACGACGGACAACAAAGTCGACAGCGGAGCTAAAAATCAAAGAAAGCTTTAATCCCAAACTAATCAGGTTTGTACATTGTTCTAGAGCATCTTTGTTCTAAGTTTCATTAAAATGGAATAATTAGTACTTTACATATCAGTGTGATAGCTTAAAATTGGTTAATTATACAAATTAGATAATTAATATGTACAGATTTTAACCCACAATTTATCAGGTCTGTCTATTGTCTTACAGCATCCATGTACAAAGTTTCATTGAAACGTGATGAGTACTTGAGATATCTGGAAAAACTGAAAATTTACTAATAATTATGCAAATTAGGTAATTAATATGCACAGATTTTTATCAAAAACTAATTAAATCTATGTACCAAGTTTCATCAAAATCCAATGAATGAACGCAAATTAATAGTCCCCGTTTCGGACTTCGTCTGAACAGGGACTAACATAATGGCCACCAGTCGGCCATTTTGAATCTTATCTGAAAAGATGTGCATCAAGGTACTATAATGTCCAACGTACATACCAAGTTTGAACAAAATCCATTTGTAAACAGCTGAGAAATGCTTTATTTTGATGATTTTTTAGAACACAAATTGCTGTCATTTGGCCATCTTGAATCAGATCATAAAACAAATTGATGAGCATATGTATAATATCATGTATGATGTATGTGTTAAGTTTAATTGTGATTGGTCCAAGCATTTCTAAAATACTGGTCTGGATGCACGCACACATGCATAGACGGACACACAAAAATCAAAACATAAGACCCCCGTTGTCGGACTGTGTCCGAACCGAGACTAAGAAAGCAAAGGATACCCATGTCTTCCTGGTGTGCTACCAATTCTTGAACTAGGTGTACCATAATTTAATGGCGAACTCAGATCTATTTCGCTGGTTGTTGCTAAGAATGATGAAAAGAAAATGACAGAATTGTTTCTACAATCTTTTGTAGGAATGTGTAATCAAGGCTCCATGAGAATGCCATTCACAATTTATAATTAGAAATAAAAAGTTCTCGCAACTTCAACCATTTCTGCATTATTTGTAACATGGTCTTGTACAAGAATTATAGAACATACAATAACAATTACCTGCTCTGGATGGTGCAGCAGGACTAGAGAACAGTGATGGAGCTGCAGTCGGTGGTGATGATGGCAAGGGTGCTAAACCAGGGGAAGAGTCCATTCTTTTAGAAGGGGGAGAAGATCCACGGGTACCACGGGTACTTCGTCTTGAGGCTGTTACAGTAAAAGTGAGAACATATTGAAATTGTACATGACCATTCCAAAAATTTGATATACTGGTGCTTGATTCCAAAATAAATAATAAACTCACGTGTACCAACTTTACTTGCTGGCGTTCCCCTTTCACTGCGCCGACTTGGTGTACCATTTTGTGCACCTTTTCTCTGTGGTGTTCCATTCTCTATAGGTGCTTTCCCCTTTTTACTAGGTGTGGTTTCACTTGGTGGCTCTTTGCTACGACCTCTCTTTGGTGTGCTTTCACTGGTATCACTTGCTCTTCCTCGTTTACTTCTACGTGGAGTTCCAACCGGTGAAGACATAGTTCTATCACAAATGGGAAACACATTTATAAATAATATAAATGAGTGTCAAACATAACACATTTTTGTATTTGATTAAGTTATCAAAACACTGGTTATAATTTTGGGGGACCAGTCCATCCCAAAAATTGTGGGAACTACAAGAATTATCTTATTCAAACAAGACATAAATCTAATAGGACCAGTCTTTGAAAAAGAAATACATCACTAAAGATAATAACTAAACAAGCAGCCTCTCGGCTGATACAGCTCCGCTGTTAGCAAGGCACATTTCAACAAAAGAACTGAAGATATCATTAGAAAATGAACAATAAAATGTATAAATATGTATAGCAATTGGACTTGTTGTTTTCAACAATAATTCAAAAATATCACTTTTTACCAAAAATGACATAAATATTCATCAAAATTAGATAATTGAAGATATCATCACAAAATGAACAAATCTGAGAGAGGTCCACATGTAGTACCTATATATGTAATATCAAAGCAATCGGACTTGCGGTTTTTAACAAGAAGTCAAAAATATCACTTTTTACCAAAAATAACAAAAATATTCACCAAAATTAGAGAGTTGAGGATATCATAATGAAATGAACAAATCTAAGAGAGGTCTACCCCAGGTACATACACTGTACATGTACACACCAAGTATCAAAGCATTCAGGCTAGTAGTTTTCAAGAAGAAGTCGAAAAGATAAAACATTGACACACGCGCCGACTCGTATGATAAGCTCCGACAGCGGAGCTAATAAAGTGGATATCTTGGATTGTATTGTATAAATTGAGAAATAAAACAAGTCATTGAAAATGACACAGTCCCCGTTACATTTTTGAAAGTTCTCTTTGTGATTGTCATATTTAAGCGGGTGGGGGGTTGTCGCGAGCGTGTCCTTGAAACTTGAGTTTCAAGTGGCATATACAACAGATTGTTTATTTACATCAAAATACGTGTTCCGTGTAGTAGTAATATGGCCAAAAATAAAAATATTTGGCCATCTTTGATATGATTATGAAACACACTGATATGTATGATGTATGTGCCAAATACGAATGAAAATGGTACATAAATTGCGGAAATATAGTAGTAAGGCCAAAAAGTCAGATTGCTGTCAATCGGCCATCCTTGACCCGATTTTGAAACAAATTGTCACGGACATGCATCCTAACATGTATAAAGTACATGTATGTGCCAAATTTGCTTGAAAACTGACAGAGCACTTCCAAGATACCGCATAAAAAAAAAAACAAGATGCCTGCCAGTCGACCATCTTTGATCCAATTGCGAAAAAAATTGTCATGGACATTTAACCTAACATGTATAATCTATGTACCAAGTTTGAATGACAACTGACAAAGCATGTCCAAAATACAACATTTTCAAAAAACAAGATGGCTGCCAGTCGACCATTTTGAATCGAATCACTAAACCACTGCATGTGCATATGTCCCACATAAGGTACTAGGCACATGCAAAGAATGAACGAAATCGGTCCACAGGATTCTGAAATATTACTATTGACAGACTGACGCACGCACAAAATTATGCAAGACGTTTTCAAATTAAAAATCCCTGTCGAATTATTAAATGGTGTCTCGAAAAGGGATTTTTTATTTGACGCCCGCTTAGCACTAATTGTAAGTTGTGCTTTGAACATCAGAAGGTCGCAATTGTTTATGTCGTTCACACGGGAGATGGAAAATAATGGCGCGTGTGTTGCTCTTGCATTTATATGGTAGTATTACTACAATTGGCATACTTATTTTCAGCTTTCAATCTAAATGGACACAGAACGCCCCAGTAACGTACTAGTACATGTACATATATTTTAGAGTCGTCTGAAAAAATAAATAAATTACACAATTATTACTGTGCTAGGACGCTGTTTATTCACGCACGGTAACTAAAAAAGAGTCACGCTTCATATTAGTTCAGTGGATGCGTCTCGACAGATGTATCCATGCGCCGCGTTTTAAAAAGTAACGTACTGAATCCAAACTAAAGGTCACATGTTGGAAAATAATAATAGTTTGCCATGGAGATATTTATGTTAGAGCTGTGGTTAGTCACAGTCCGTCAACAAGGGAGGGAACTGTGGTTTAGCGTTAATCCGATGACACTAAACATACACTATTTTTGTTAAAAGACGCTAATAATTTGAAAAACACTTGTAACACTTGTAGGGTAATCGAAAAATAAGAAGAAATTGCAAACAAATTTGAAAAAAGACGAGCTCTAGTTTAGTAAAATCGGCAGATGAAAACCCCAAAATGACCTGTTTTCAAAGTGATAGCGTGACCTTGCATCAGACATATTGATATGCAAACGACTAATTTGTGAAACAAACAGGAGCGGATAAGATAAACAAAAAAAAAGGACCAACGATTTCAAACAATGTATCCTCACCTCTAATTTATTTAAAACGTCGTGTGTAAAACCGTGTTTGTCGTAGTAGGCCGTCAAAAAATGGTAACCCATTAGTATGCACGGGTGATTTGTTTTTACTTTACAATAATTTTATCAAGCACGAACGTCGTCAGATTCGTTTTTTTTGTTGTTGCCTAAAGTCTCTTGGCCAATCAAAAATAAATAATTCACGCAACGGTGAGATGATTAACATAGGTCACCCGTTTGGCCCCAACGACACACTTACAGTACAGTTCTCTCGGAAGCTTTGGCTTCACTTCAGCATCAGCTTCGTTTCAGCATCGCATCATTATGGCATTGTTATGGCTTCAGCGTCGCTTCAATGTCGCGACATAAAAAGTTGAGGCGGTCATCACTTCGCTTCATTGTGGCCTCATTATGGCGACAATGTGGCATCAGCATCACTTCATCAAACAAAGAAGTAACAGAACTCATTTCGCTCAAGCACTCGTCCGCTTCCGCTTTTCAATCGCTCGCTTTTGTGACCGCTTGTTGAATTTACGCTTTATTTTCGACTGTGCAAAAATTCGGACTACTAACAATTTTCTGGTTTTCATAGATCACGGTTACTAGTTTAGTAACCGTGCATAGATGTTGAACAACCATCAAAAGTTCAAATACTGTTTGTTTTAACTATCAATAATTATATGCACGCAATCTGACCCTTTGACCTAGATTTGACTGGGATTGACTATTTTATTTTAAACAACTTATTCTGACGTGACGCACTGCTACAAAATGTATTTCAACAGAAGTACGACATGGTTGTCTGGGTTTCTTTTCCCGATTGTGTTGAGTTTACTATTTGTATAATTATTGTTATTTCTTCAAGGAGAAGACAAGCCGAAGGACCATGAAGCTAAATAGAAGTCCCACGCATGGACTGAGTGAAAGAAAATATTTCCAAGGCTAAAATAAAACCTAATGTCTCTGTGTATTTGTCAATTTTGCATATATTTAGTATGACAGTATGTTCGTAAATATCTGTAAAAATCTTGTCTTTCGTTAATAATTTCATTTGTTTGAAATGTCTGCCGACTGTGTCCCAATAATTTGTTTGGAATATCCTCGTTGGTTTCTTCAAACGGTCCCGATGTCCGTCATTCAACACAATCAGCATTTATCATAATTCATGGGGATCATGTCCCGTAATTTGCGGGCTGTAAAACCAAATAATTAAACAAGTAGGTACTATTTATTATATCTATATTTTTGTTTTAGCTCGCGAAACTACAACACGGCATAGAGTTGTCGCGGCGAAACAGTCGCCTTGAAATCAATGGAACTTCAATTATCCATTTCTCACCTTGAAATAAAATTTAAAAAAAAATCGAAGAGCATCGGGGGTATATTATTAACCAGTCTTACTAATCACTAGCTTTATTTTATTCAAATCCATAAAATTCACGAGTTTTTCGACATTTGTTGGCAACTTCCGCGCTAAAAATGGTTGAAAGTGTGGGTGTGGTAAGTGGTTCTCTCGCAAAGTCTCATTGATAATACGGACAAATATGGTTCTGTGACCCAGGTTGTGTGCTCCGATCAATGTGACTCTCAGCCAATCAATGATGTTGTTACAAAGCATATTTAACGCTAATTTAAGGGTCGTCGTACCATCCAATCCCCTGCGTCGATTCACATTGTTTGTGCTGTGACAGGCTTCACAATTATTCACTAATAAACATCGGTATATTTTGACAAACGACCGGGATACCTCAGTTCAAAAAAAGAAAAAACAAAACAAAACGGGGCTGAGATACAAATCAGTTTTGCAAGTTGGGAAATAAGGTAAACCAGATTGGGGTCGATGATATTCAGTATCGAATGACTTCAGTGTGTATCATAGGTTTCAAATTGTTCATCGACTGGGCACCACTGGACATGTTTTTTTTGAAGCCCAATAAATTATTTCTGCATGTCAAGTGCTATTCAATTTTTTACAGGGCATTATTCGAAAATATTTTTTGTGAGAATACTTTTAAAGTACGTATAGGTCGAGCTTAGGTCACTGATCGTGACTTAATTTTGAAAATTGGATGTAAAATTTTACCAGACCGACTCCACCACAACCATCCAATCATAGTTAGAAATGTACGCACTTGTTTTGGAATTTTGTATCAAGATAGCAGGCGACAACGCCGACGCACCAGGCGACGTATGTGCGTTTTGCATGTATTAGTAGTCCGGGCATGGGATCGGACTCTGCTAAAACTAAATGAAACACAGAAAAATACCACCGAAATGAGGAATCTGAATCTGTTCTCTTACCAGCAAATAAAATGAACGAAAATAACTAAGGTAATTTTATAACAAGAACAGTTTCATTTCGTGTAGCAAATTGTGTTGTATCCGAACGACGATTGCATCGTGTGATTTAAATTTATCACGATTTTCCTTGCAGTCAATTTGACACTCGTCACCTTGCAGATTGCAATGTACTTCACAAAGTTTTTGGTACCCAATACTCGCAACATATATTAAATAATTAAACAAGATATATTTTTAAAATGTCATTTTACTCTTGGTCATATTTTATTCCCCTTACCGTCTTGAATTTCAAATCGATTACATATCGAACTTCTGTATATGTTTTTTTTCACTCTACTGCCTTTCCATGTGAAAATAATGAGGTCATACTCGTGTCACAATACTTTGAAGCTGATGCCATGTTGATGCCATGAGACTGCGAAGCTGAGGCCAGGATGATGCTACAGAATAAGCGAGGCGAACACAGCTTCAATTGTCAATGACGCGAAGCTGATGCCACAATGATGCGATGCTGAGGCGACAATGAAGCCATGCGTAGGCGACAATGATGCCACAACAGGGTTCGACTCTCACGCTGGTCCTCTATCCCGAGTCTAGTAAATTTCTTGCAGGACCAGCAAAAATGCGTGGGTGGAAGTCCGAAGGACTAGTGGTTATTTACCCGTTATTTTACCGATAAAATTCCAGTCAAATTATTGCAATTCACTTGTCATTTAGAACTAGACTTTCGACAGTCGGTCGTACCTGATATTAATCTGTTATTAATAAATAGCGTGTATAACGTAATATGCGTGAATAAATTGCGAAAGCCAGTGTATTTCAGAGCTTGCGTAGCGATGCAATTTAAGACGTTTGCGCAACCTTTTCTGCGCAGTTACGTCATTTGAATACTGTTGTTGCGCAGAAATAGTTGCGCAATCGTCTTTTAATGTCGGCATCCAAGTAGTTTAGTTATCGTCGCGAGACATCGGTGATATGGAGCGTTTTTTGGTTGGGTATCATGTTCCAGCGAGTAAAAAACCCAAAACGGCAATTGATGACAAAGAGAAACGGCGCCAATACGACTCTGAGGTACGTGTGCGTGGCTTCCAAACTGAATGGAAGGACAAGTACCCTTGGTTGTCATTTTTCATGATGAATGGAAAGGGGAAGATGTTTTGCGACGTTTGCCGAAAATTCAAAGCAACAGGCACGTATGTGACAGGGTGTACCAATTTTAAATTGGATAGCATCAAATCACACAGTATCTCTGCGAGTCATACCAGAAATTTTGCAAGATTTGAAGCAATGCGTGCTCCTCCGGGACATACTGTGGCCGAGAAAAGCTTGTTGTCGATGAATAAACAAGTAGTGAGCAAGCTAGTGATTTTATTCAAAACTGCTCACGGCCTTGCTAAACGCAGTAGACCGTACACCGATTTCTCCTGGATGTGCGACTTGGATGAAGCAAAGGGACTTGTTATTGGAGACACGTATAGAAATGACAAAAGGTGCAAAGAATTTATTGAAGCCATTGCAAATACTGAGAGAATCAATACATCTTCATTAATAGAAAACACAAAATTCCTATCAATTATTTCCGATGGTGCTACAGACTCCTCACATAGAGAAGCTGAGATTTGCTTTGTTAAATCATCTCATTTGGGTGTTGTATCAACAAAGTTTATTGGTATCGCAAATATTGCCAAAGCTGATGCTAATGGAATATCCCAGGCACTGACAAGACTACTATGTAATATAGCTGGTGATACATGGAAGGAAAAGGTCATAGGCATGGGGACTGATGGTGCCAGTGTCATGTTGGGGAGAAAAGGTGGCGTAATCAGGAAAATTCAAGATCAACTTGAGCGACCATACATCGTTGGAGTCCATTGTTCTGCTCACCGTTTAGAACTTGCATATAAAGATGCTTGTAAGGAGATCATTTTGTACAAAAAAGTTGACAATTTGATGATGAATCTCTACTATTTTTATAGAAATAGCAGCCTTAATAGAAGCAATCTTATAGTTTCTTTTGAAGTGTTGGGCAAAAAACCACTCATGCCTACCCGAGTATCTGGAACGCGATGGGTTCCTCACACTATGCGAGCAATATCGAACATTGCTAATGAATACAGTGCTATTGTCACTCATCTTCAACAGGTATGTGTGCAATTTAACTAGCAATTGATATTTTAAATGTATTGTTATTACATTTGTACATAGATGTTTTCTCTATCAATACAAAGTATCAAATTTGGCTTAAAAAATATGTACTGGTAGTATTTTTTGGAAGCCAGATGAATGAATTGCAAATATTGTGTGACAGATACTGTTATTTATTTGTGAATATTTTTTAGCAAGATTTTATACCTTTGACATAGATAGAGCAAACATCTTTCTGTACAAATGTAGTAAAAATATTATAAAAATGTGTATATTATAAAACTTCAATACTTGTTTACTGTATATTTAAATAATTTCACTGCACTGTAAAGTATAAGTATAGTGACTAACACAAAGTTAAATATTTTGGGTTATTTTTGAAACCTCAGATCCAGAATCCTCATGATCCTGCTTCGAGAAAAGACTCGGCTGCCAAAGCAAAGAATTTCCTCATGATGTTAACAAGCAAGAATGCTCTATATTTTATTTACTTCTTATGGGATATAACAATATGTCTTTCAAGACTCTCCCTGGTGTTTCAAGATAGGAAGACTACTGTAGGTGTGATTCACAGTGAGCTCAGTGCTGCTAGGGATATACTGCAATCTTACAAGGAAAGGTAAGATTAGTCTATGCAATTATATTAACATCTTAATGAACTGTTGAACTACTGTAAATTTAATGAAATCATTTGAAATAATAAACCACTTCCACGTAAATTATACTAGATATCTATACATTTCTGAAATGTAATATTTTATATTTATACACTTCTTTCTTGCTAGCATCTTGCTGATCATAATGCATAGTATTTAGTTAAATGTATAATTTTTTTATAATCGCCTAGTGATGGTCCTAAGCTTAGAGAGGTATTAGGCAGGGATACTTTTAATAACCAAAAGCTGTCAGGGAATGCACAGAGCTTTACTAGTGCCAGGAATAAGTTAATTGATAAATTGATAGCCAGTTTATCCAAACGATTTGAAGTAGATGAAGCCATTATTAAAGCAACAGCTATTGCTGACCTGAAAGTATGGCCTGCATCAGTCCAAGATGAACCAGGTAATTTGTCAGTGACATAGTTTACTGCTCGATTTGCACGTATGCATGGGCAAATAAATATTAATCTTAATTATTGATAAAGGAAACACTACACTCAACATTAATAGCAGTTACAAAGTTGTACAATTATAAAAAAAATATATTCACAATGTTTGGATATATTGCTGATTATTTGTTTATTTAGACTTTGGTGCAACATCCATAGAAGTTCTGAGTCAGCAGTTTGGTCCTGCATTACTACAGCATGCTAATGGTCTTACAAGTACCGATGATTTACAACCTGAGTGGATCAGATTTAAACACCTCTTGTATGCCAGGTAAATAGTTATAACAAAACATGTAAGCTTAAGCCTCTATCCTTATCTGCAATGTTATTTGTATGGTATGTCATACTGTTATACACCTTGACTGAAATAGTTATGTTTGCCAACAAGGGTTCACAATAACTGTCATGTTTAATTTTGTCTAACCTTTTGTTTTTGCAGATTTGTTGATTTATCTGAAGTGACATGGGCCCAGGTGAACTCAGCTCTTGTTGATAAATGTCCAAATATATTAGCTTTAATTGACTTGGTTTTGTCAATGCCTGCCAGTTCCTTTGAAGCTGAGAGGGGATTCTCCTTGATGAAGATCATCAAGACAGACTGGAGGAGTCGCTTGAAGGACTCCACTCTGTCTGACCTCATGATGGTTAAATTAGAAAGCCCAGAAATAGGAAAATTTTCTCCAAATGCTGCCATCAATTTATGGTTTAATAAAAACAGAAGACCATTTTTCAATGATAAAAAAATGGGCAATTCTGCTGTTGAAATTGATACTGAGGATGATGTTATGACAGAAGAAACAGGTGTTAAATTTCCCATCTCTTCTGCGAAAATAAATGAAGATGATGATGATTATTTGTATGATTCAGGGGCAGAGGATGATTTCTATTCTGATGAAGATGAAACTTTAGAAAACAGACGAAATCATGAAGTGAATGCATATCACAATTTGCTAGAGTCAATCTCAGATGTTATGTAAACTTTGTACTAGTAATTAAATAATAAAGTTGCCAGTTGTATACAAACATTATTACTATTTGTCATTGCATTTTAATTTGATAATATAACAAATAGCTGTCAGTTACCACACATTAGTGCATTAACACGCCTCAGTACACGGTACATATAATAGCTCTCCCATTTTCCCCATTTCTTCAAGCAAAATAATAAAGGCGAAAATAGATTACTCTTACAAAAAGTAGAAGGACCAGTAAGGTTTTTTGTGGGATAGTATTCTCCCAGCTTCACTAGCCCTACTGGATAGTGATGAACTTTTTTGACTGTCTAACCCTGCACAAAAGCCAAAGCTTCCGCGAGAACTGTACTGTAGGTTCATCAAATTGACCTAGGAATGATTTCCAGACAGTTTCGAATTCAAATAGAAAATATTATTTCTGATGACAGTTATTTTATTTTTGCGAAAAACGGGTGAAAAATATGATGTTTGTATGTGCCTGGTTAACCATTCCTGGTCTGGGGTGATTTCCAGACAGTTTGAAAATTTCGGGAAAACGTTTTTTTTGTTGAAAAGTTTGTTTGCCAAACTAAAACATGCCAACGGTCTTGATAATACTATGAACAGCAGATGTTTTATTTAAAAAAAAAAAAAACAGGGAAGAACTGTTTTCCTGTCAATAATAAAAATTGGGGCAAGTTTACACAGCGCGACATTTCTTAACATACAGCTGCCTGCTATAAACGTAAACGTCGCAGTGAGACTGCCAAAAAGACCAGTACAAATGGTCTCTTGTAATAACTTATTCACTGCCTGAGAGGTCTCAGTACCAAGGTCGACATGGTCATAAAAGAAAGTAAATTTAAACATTTGTAGTTGTTCCCTCTGCTGCAGTTACAGTTAAAGCATATACGGGGTTCTTGCTGTTTGGTCTTGCCACTACGTCGACAGTATGTAGATAGTGGGCGACCAGCCATACGAACTGGACGAGACGTTGACCACAACCAGAGTGAAGAAAAAAAGGTCCTCTGCTGCTGAATTAATGGCTACACTGATTTATTCTCGGTAGCCAAGAAAACAAGAGTATTTTTCTGAAAGCTTTTCGCCACTGCTGTTAAAACACTGGAACGTCCTCTCGATAATATTGGATACCAATACGGTATTAAATAACTCATACTAACCTAATGGTCCCTATCAGAACCAACACATCATCCAGAATAACAACTATAGTAAAACAGTTTTTTGCAATAATTCAGTACACATAAAACATTTTATATGCTCCATGCTGGTCGTGATGATATTTCTGTACTTCATTCAATCATTTTTTTTATTGAAATAAAGTTACACCATGGTCTCACACAGGCACACATATTATTCAGTGTTCTCCCCAGAAAAATGTATCAGAGTGGCGGCTAATTTGCATATAATTTACATATCATTAGCATATGTCTAGAGATAAAGAAAACAATAATGACAGGCTTGCATGGATGAAATTGTGTCTTTATTTTTTAACAAATTTATGTACAAGATTAAATGAATCTGCTGCTGTGTGATTTCTATGTAATGTTGATTCTTCGGACTTTCATACTTGTATTTAAAAAATATCGTCACGATCAACACGAAAATAAACAAATTGCCA